ACCATGATCCACTATGAATATGAAAAAGTGCAAAACATGAAAGTTGTAGATACGGATGTCTTTTGTATTATGTCAACATTTCAGCTCAATCAGACTGTTGGATCAAAAGTTATGATCATTCTACAAAAATTGGTCCGGAGTAGGCAGTACCGGTATGGTTTGGCTACTGATGTTCGAAGTACCGATACATAGTACCGCTATGCCATTCTGAAATAGCCCAAAATACCAAGATCGCCTATATCTCAACTCCACTTGCTTGGGGCCCCACCTACACTTCTCTCACACCTATCCTAGACATTTTCTACATACAATCATGCTATTCTTACACAATTTCTTGACGTTGGAAGAGAAGGCATGGGAGGAGAGAGAGAGGATGATGGGTGTGCAAGCTAAGCCTATGCTTGCTTGCCTAACCCATCCATTCAGCCCCCTATTGATGGGAGACTTGCACACACCTTGGGGAGACCACCATGGACGAAATTACAAGGCTAACACTCCATTTATTCAGCATTCCACAAGCATTTTCAAAGTGGTGGCTACCTAAGCTTAAGAAGAAGATGATGAATAGTAGACATAAAACTTAGATTTTTGCATTTCCTTTCATCCAGTTTCACTTGTAATCTTCTTGAATACTCTTGTAAGCTTCATTATTTACTTATAATGTCATTTGCTTCAATTGCTTTGCAAGTTTAGTTAAGTATTCTAGATTTCACCATTGTTACTTCAATTGCTTTGCAAGTTTAGGCAAGTTTACTTCCATTCCTCCTCTTGGTGTACGATGGTTCGATTTGACTGAGTTGAGTATGAATGTGGTAGTGAGTCTTTGATATCCCGTAGGCCTGGTCACGGGTTATGCTTGGATCCTCACTTCCATCTCGTCCCTCACTTCCCACGAATCAATCGTTTATCTATGCACCATTGGAGGAATGTTTCGAGTTGAGTTGGTATTCCCATTAGAATGACCTATTCGGATTAGCCAACACTTGTTTTTCTTTCATTTTTTGCAAGAACACAAAACACCAAAACTCAAAACTTCAAAAGTTTTTACACTTCTCTTCCATTTTGACAAAATCACCTTCACACACTTGTACTTCCTTCCCTGAGGAGACGACCTTGGAATATGTTTCCAAGTAAAACACGACATTCAAAAGACTCCTTGTGCTTGGGGAGCACTTTTGTTCACAACAATACACACATTTTGTACATTTCATATTCCACCATTTCGTTGCCCATTTTCCCCCATCATTCTGAGGGAGAGTGACACTCCCCCATTCCTATAAGCCATACATATTGAGGGATGATGTTAGGAGGTTAGGGACTACAATGGAAATATCAAGTATTTTTGGCACCATTGCGGGGAAGGTTAAGCGTTGAGTTCAAAGGTGATTTTTGGCGGCATAGGTAAGTCTCATGATTTTCATCACGGGCCAAGGTATGTCGTATCGTTTTTAAATAGTTTGTAAATAGCTTGTGTTTTATGTAATGTCTTATAATTTTTATGATAATGTATTAAATGCCCCATATTATGAAAATGTGTGTGAGATTTGTGATGAGTATTAGCACATCACTAGTGAGTGCCCAATAAATGCCCCTTATTTTGAAAACGTTTGCGAGATTTGTGGTGAGTACAGACACATCACTAGTGAGTGCCCAATAAATTATCGAGATCAGACTTTGCATGTGAAGGTTCAAATTCAATTTTGGCCTCCGAAGACTTTACCCCAACCACGATATTACACCGAGTTATGGTTGGGAGAATAAATCTTATAATTTTTCATCCAATCTCACACCACCACACCAAATGAATTTTACCGCTATCTAACATGTGGGGACTCAACTGAAGTAGAATTGAAAAATATATTGTGCGATTTTATGCAATACCAAATGGAAGTCAATGACAAAGTAGCCCAACAACTTTTTGAAATTAGATATGACTTTATTGCATTGATTAATGCTATAACTACTATGCATGAAGAACAACATCTTGAGAATAGTCAATGTAGTGAGGATGACCATCTCAATGGAATGAATATTGATGTTGAATCTTCCACCACTCATGATTGTGAAACATTTAATGAGGATATCATCTCACATGAGGCTAATGAGCCCAAGGTCATTTTGTCATCTAAGAGTGATGTTGAGATTCACATTTCTCAACTTGGGGACGACATTGAAATGGAGTTTTTGAGTGGAGAAACTTTTAAAGAGAAATTGTATACTCCATTGTTGGAATTGCATAAACTTTCCTACACATCTATTTGGTTGAGATTTTTGAATTGTTATCCTTTATATTGTTGGTTAGATTGGTTAGGAAGGGCATTTATACAACAAAAAAGTTTTAAAATCAAAAAAAATAAATGGGCGTAAGCTCATATCCGAATTGAAGCCGGATTGACATGAGCCCTTGTTGTTTTGTTTTCATGTACATAGTAGTTAGATTCTTTTATTGTTATATTTTCCTTTTCTTGATGTTGTAGTGTAGAAGTTGTTTACCTCTCCCTATTTTGGACTCATTACATTTTGAACATCACCGTAGAAAAACTCATTCAAGTGAGTCATTTTATATATAATTTCTCATTCAATACTTAATGGTTTTGGACAAGTAAATATACCATATTAATCTCGTTGCGGAGGATAACACGTTTAAACATAGTCCCACCAATTTTGAGGTATGGATCCCACTCTAAATAACTTTATTTAAAATCATTTTTCCAACAGAAAATCACCTTAAAGAGTAAAAGGGGACTTCAACCAACAAGGCTTACCTAGGGGAAGAAGCTACTATCTCTAGAAGGCTATGTTATCACTTATAGAAGGCCTCGTTGCACCTAGGGGAGAAAGCCTCCAAAGGCCAAATATTCACCGACAATTTTATTAAGATTACACCATCATTGTGTATAAAAGGCAAGCCAGTATGTTGCCAAGGATGTTTGAATAACTGTATTCGTCTTCTTTTTCAAGCAATACACAACCAAGGAATATGAGCCTCAATTACAGTAGACTAACGCAACTTTTCAACTATGTGAACCACTTACATTCTGTGTATTCTTTACTCGTTTCACCTTACACCGCACCCCTAACCTAGAGCTCTTGCAACTCATCCATCTCACATTTCTCAGTTTTTTATACCATCAATTTATAATTTATTTGAAGTTAGATTATGACTTAAAATATTATTTACATTGAAACAAAACCAAATTGCAATTCATAAAATTAGGATTGATACTCAAATATTAGGATTGATTCTAGAACTGCCATTATTTCCATAACTTTACTAAATTTCATTTTATTTTCAAAACAAACTTACACTAGAGTATAAACACAACTTTGTTATCTTTATTGTTTTGGATTTTAATAGTAGTGAATTGTATATGTAACCATGTCCATTATCATAATGAAGCTATGCTGTCGGAAGACGAAGTGTTCACAGGTTTCATGGCGAATTGTATTATGCATCATGAAATATTTTAAATTTTTTATTTTATAATTTTTAATATTAAATTTATCATATTACACTTTTAATGTGTCAAAAATATTATAATGTGATATTCCTGTTAATTTTTTTGTGTGAGTACCAATGCATTGATTTTTGACAAAAATTAAATAACAAAAATTAACAAAAAAATTTGACAATACTTTTTACAGATATAGTATATAAAATTTAATTTTTAAGAATACAATATACTTAGTGTGTCAGTTCATTTGTGACATAGCTGCCATTATTCCATTCCTAATCTTATCAACTTACTCATGACTTACCCCTTAACCATCATAAATCATCTCTTACTTCCTCTTCATTGATGTTTGACCAATTATTAAAATTAACTGTTAAATGCCGAAATTAAATTATTGGATGCAAAACAAATCAAACCTTATATAATTTTCGATATTTAATACATTAAGTAAAGAGTAATTTTTTTTTTGATAATTTTTGATATTTAATACATTAAAATAAAAGAGTAAATTTCTGATAATCAGTCATCTTCGTTTGAAATCAAAGTCCCACGACAGAGTACCTTCCAGTTCCTGGCTTTCCTTCTACTGTTTCTAAGGCATTTTCTCATCACCAACCAAGGATAACACCATCATTCCTTCTTTATAATTACCACGATTCTTTTTAAGTATACTTTCTTTGCAAAAAAAAAAAAAAAAAAGCAACTTCGGCTCTCATTTTCGTGTATAGATTTTTAAGAAGAGGGGAGGCAATGGGTGCTGTCAGAAAGCACCGTCTCAGCTTAGATTAAGACTCACATTTGCTCCAACAGAGAGGACCCACATAGGAAATTACTCAGACTGGCTATATAACTGGTGTTTCTTTGAACTGGGTTGATTTGGGTGTCTTAGAAATGAGGTCTTTTTGATGTGCTTTTTCTAGGTTTGTTTGGTCAGAGATCTGTGTTTGGTGTTTGGTTAGTTGCCCGAGGAAATGGGGCTTCTCGGATCTGCGCACTGAATGTTGCTCCTCTAAATCTTCTCTCAAACAGGTATGAGAACGAATAGCTTTCAAATAACATTGCAACAGTTTGTTTTAACTTTTTCCCATTTTTTTTTTCAGTTTTAGATTCGCTGCCAGAATATATTCAATGTTTATTTTGGTAGAATAATTAAACGAGAAAAAGCAAACGATCTTATATTAGTGGATCTTGTTACATTGTGCTCTTGATCTATATATTAACCAAGTGGAATGTGTACCTGTGTTGTGAATCTTGTTTATTACACTTTCTATTCGAACATGCCTTCTTGTTTCTCCTGTTACATTGTTGGCTTTAAGAGGAAATGGTGGACTTTTTACCCCTTTATCAGTGAGGGTTGTAGGATGAGCACATGAATAGGGTAGATGAGAGGCCATGAATGCTAGGAGAGCAAGAAATATACTGTAACAATTTTCCATTAATGATGCAGCGGAATCAACACCAGTGTTAGATGTATACTTTGCAACATAAATCTCAATCCTGCTTGTTTTTGTATTTATTCTGTAGATGCTTTGAGGTTTGCGAGAAATGGCTACTGTTCTCAATGCAGAATTATCGGAGAAAACTGGCATTTTTGGTCTCAAGGTTTGGGAATTGATTGGGATCATTGTGGGGTTATTTATTGTGGTTATCCTCTTTGGCTTAACTTTTTATCTTACTTCACGAAAGCGATCTAGAAGGGCTAGAGAAAAGATTCCCCTTAGTCATATTCCAATTGTTTCAAAGGAAATTAAGGAAGTACAGGTGGATCTAGTGTCAACAAATGAATTTGTTCCACGTGATGGGATTCTTCTCGCAATCCATGACAAATCCAGCGATAAAGAATCTGATAAGGTTTTGCTCCATTTGAGAAGGGGAAAAACAGAGAATGGAGATAACAGCAGTCGATCGGATTCATTCCATCATCTTGATAAAGAGGGTGGAGGGTCTCAATTAGGAGAAGAAGGGAGTTCTGACACATTTGCGTTGTATAAATCTTCTTCTTCACGTCCAATAAATGCTCCTTCTCCTTTAATTGGCCTGCCTGAATTTTCTCACTTGGGTTGGGGTCACTGGTTTACATTAAGAGATCTTGAACTTGCAACAAACCGATTTTCAAAGGAGAATGTTCTTGGTGAGGGTGGATATGGAGTTGTTTACCAGGGACATTTGGTTAATGGGACTCCAGTGGCAGTTAAGAAGCTCCTCAACAACCTGTGAGTTTAAAAATGGCTTTGCTTATTTCATGCCTGTATGGTAGTTTATTTTTCTTGTTTTAGTTGGTTGTCAAATGTTGGAAGTTAAATATGTGAACTCTTTTGTTCTAGAGGCCAAGCGGAGAAGGAATTTAGAGTGGAGGTTGATGCTATTGGCCATGTGCGTCATAAAAATTTGGTTCGCCTTCTCGGATACTGCATTGAAGGAACTCATAGGTACTATTCTGGTAAAACGTATTTCTTAATAGCTTTTTTGTTTGCATTCGTTCCGGCAATGAGTCACCCTTGGTGTTAGAAACCAAACCCTTGAAATGAATGTAGTTTTTCTTTCATGTTTCTTTTTCTTGTTCACACATGCATCCAAGTCCCAAGTGGAATTTAAAACCTGAATCTCCACTGCTCGGGTGGTGGGAGGAGATGCCACTCAAACTAACAGCTGGTTTTATAATGCATCTAAGACCTTGAGTCCTTCCAGTTTTCACTTTTCATTTCAAACAGTATCTTTCTCATTTATTCCATATGTTTCAGGATGTTAGTCTACGAGTACGTGAACAATGGAAATTTAGAACAATGGCTTCATGGAGCTATGCGCCAGCATGGATATCTTCCTTGGGAGGCCAGAATGAATATTCTCCTTGGCACAGCAAAGGCGTATGTTAAATCCAACTGTCTCTCTCTTTCAACACCGGTAGATCTTGTGACATGTGGTACATTTATTGCAGACTTGCCTACTTGCATGAAGCAATTGAGCCAAAAGTTGTTCACCGAGACATAAAGTCAAGCAATATATTGATTGATGATGACTTCAATTCCAAGGTTTCTGACTTTGGTTTGGCTAAGCTACTTGGTGCTGGAAAAAGTCACATCACAACACGGGTCATGGGAACCTTCGGGTTAGTATAACTTCAATAATTTGCTTTGTTTTTTATTTTGTTTCCTAAATTGTAGGATTTTTTGAAATGTTGTTGTATGTTAGATTGATCTAAAGGAATTATATCATTTTTATTTTCTTTCTTTTGAAATAATGCAGATACGTGGCTCCGGAATATGCAAATACGGGCCTTTTAAATGAAAAGAGTGATGTTTATAGCTTTGGCGTTTTGCTTTTGGAAGCAATTACAGGAAGAGATCCAGTGGACTATGGTCGTCCTGCTCAGGAGGTATGTGTTTAATACGATATAATCTGAGAATCTGTTAGAATCTTGACAGCGAAGATGTTTTTGAATTTTCATCTACTCAAAAAATTTGACGCAATTTGGATTCAGCATGAAGACTATTATGAATGATTAGACTATGCATCTGATGTTGGATATGCTATCAATATGATCCATTGAGAACAATCTGTGATAATGTTTTTCACGTTGCACCACACTTATAAAGCTTTTGTTCTTAGCCTAACATTGGTTTGTGCACTGAGCCTACTCAGTTACTTTAGATTCCTTTCAAAAACTATTACTTTAGACAGGAAAGGATTCTTCTCCTTTATCTCTGTCTTTATTTTCCCTTTTAGGCTCAGCTTCTTCAATACTCTTCATGATGTATTATTATTTTTATTTTTCAATCACAGGACTTCCTAAAGGGATATCTATGGGTATGGGACATATCCCTTTTATTGGCATTTAACAGCTGTACATTCTGAAGAATTTATTCTTTCATCAATCCTAATGCGGAGGCATACGAAATTATCCCATAAGTTAAAGCTCATAAAACTAAAAGTCTCACATGCCCATTTCTCATATGTGATACAAGCTTTGGATAGATTGATTCTCATTTCTTTCAATTTAATTTTTGGATCATTTATATGCTTCTTTGAAGTTGCTTGTTCTATGAGTTATGCCAACATCTGTAATTTGTGATATTTAATGAATCAAGTCTTCGAGCGAAATTTATAAACTTAGTCTCTTTAAGCCTCTTCATTTTTTTTTCCATACTTTCTCCTTTTGACTTCCGTCTGGTTATTTCCCTTCAAATATGCTCTGATTTTTCAACAATGTGATGTTTGCAGGTAAATCTTGTTGATTGGCTGAAAATGATGGTCGGAAACAGGCGCTCGGAGGAAGTAGTGGACCCTAACATTGAAACCAGACCATCGGCAAGAGGCCTAAAACGAGCCCTTTTAACTTCTTTGAGGTGTGTCGATCCAGATTCTGACAAAAGACCTAAGATGAGCCAAGTAGTGCGTATGCTTGAGTCAGAGGAATATCCTATACCAAGAGAGGTAAGTTTTTTATTCTGCATGCATATGGCATAAACAATTTTATCTGAATTTTATCAGTAAAGAAACTGATCGGTCTGCATGTAATTTTAATTGAATTCATCTTCTATCGGGTACTACCTTTAGAGAAAGTGAATTTCTCTTTTTTGCCTTCCAAAAATTTCATTACATCAGATTTGCTCCTTTTATCTGTTTAACAGTTTAAGCTAATAGAGTTGCTAGCCTCATTCAGATTTATAGAATCTTGCCATTAGTTTTGTAATGGATAAGTATACATACTACATCAATTAACACTGCATCAATGAAGAAACCTCCTTCATATTCAACCTTTTCTTTAATTAGTGAGTAACCTGCGAAGCATTCTATCTTCATGTGGGTTTTCTCTAATCTAAAGGTTAGCACCCTCTTCATTATCTCATCTCTAAGGTTACGTATCAAGGAAGCTAAGAAAAAGTCCTGGGTATTCAGCTGCAAAATTTATGATTCTCTTTTATTACCTTATGATTACTTATTTATATTCCTTATGCCTTTTTACTTTTATCTCGATCATCTTGAAATCCGAGTTATAGCATCTTCCACTTTTGTAACTTAGCTACTTTGGTTCATCCGTTCATTTATGGAAACAAATTATGTTGACAACTATCATGTACCATTATACCTCGTCATTGGTAAAATAAATTAATTTGGGAAGAGCCTAATTGATGTGTGTACCTTTTCAATAAAGAAACTCTGATATTGTACATATGATTGTTTCTTATATTTTTCATGGTGGTATCCCTGAATATATGTTTATTACGATCTGGATTATTTGTAGTTGCATGTGCTTGCACATCCTTGTGATGGAATTTTGCTTTTGTAAGTATTTCTTTTACTTCCACATTTATCCACTGTATTTGAATGGGGCTATTCAAAGCATTAGTTCTTGTTGTGTTGCACTACTTTGTGATAGAATTTTGCCTTCAATTATTTCTTCAACTAAAGTGCACAATTGAAGAGGAAACACGTGATATTCCTCTTTTGCTTTATGCCTTGGGGCTGAGAATAGAAATTTCCTACCTCACAATAGCAGCAATCATGAATGTATATCGATTTAGTTTGCTTTCAAGTGGCATGGCAACCCAGTGAAAGCTCTAGGGAAGTGGTAATAGACACTGCACTAATGCATCGGCTTTGGAGAGTGTCAATTTATATTGAAGATTCACTATTTTAGAGGCAATGTCTTGAATGTTGTTCCATGCTAAACTTAACCAACATCATTGCGAATGTTGTTCTGGACTCGGGAGTCATATTCATAAGTTATCGTGATACAATGAATTTGATGCTTCATTTAAAAGCTTTATTCTTTGTGAATGAATAAATCTCTTAGCATAATACTGTTATGGTAATGATTCAACCGCTTATGTATCTTTTTCTTAATTGCATTTGATATACATTCTGATCAAGAATTCTCTTTACAGTTATAAAAATAAAGTGAATAAATTTTGCATTTTGAATCAACAGTAGACCACCAGTCAATTGATCATTTATCTCTTTCTCCATTTTTTTGTTATCCCAACATTATACTGTGCAAGCTGGCTTTCTTTGATTAGATGATGCTTGGTTTTAAAAGCCTTCAGTGCAGGAATGAATGTTAGTGATGATTTGTAATTGGATTTTGATTGTATTTATTACTACAGGATCGAAGGCACCGAAGAACTCATGCAGGTAGCATGGAGATTGAATCCCAGGAGTATATTGACACCGACAAGAGTGGCAACCCAGATCCAAGATCAGAGAGCAAAAGGAACAACAGAACAAAGGCAAATAGTGATTTTATAGATGACCTGGGGACATATGAATTGAAATCGTAATTCTTACAATTTTTTTCATGTTCATCAAAGCTTGGGATGTGAGTGTTGAAGCTGATATCTGCAAGGGCACAAGAGGGATTTGTTATCGGGATCAAGGTGGGAGCTACTGGTGGGGAAGAAGAGAATTTTCCCGTTATTTTATTATTTTTATTTGTTGTTCCCCATTTGTCTTTGTTTTTCTTCATCTGATCTGTCTTGCTAGTTTGTATGGAAGTTGATAGAGAGTTGATTGTTTTGTGTATGAAAGTGGTGGTAGTGTGCCAAAACTGATCAGGGGTTGGCGTGGAGGCACTTTGGCTTGTATGGTCAAAAGATTTGTGAGTTGTTTTATTTCTTACAATGGATGTGATACAAAGGATAGTAGCCCACATGACTATTCGACGTAATAGGTATTCTCCCAAGGGGCTTAGGGGAGGCTGGGTTGGTAAGGGGGGATTACTTTTGTTAGAGCTGTTTTTTCTTTCTTCCCCGTGAACTGGGATGTTAGAGTGACTTGTTAGCACTTTTAGGCCTCCTCTTTATGTAGATAAGCTGCAAGCAGAGTGTTCTCCTGCGCTTAAGTAATGTGATTAGGGTTGAAAATATTGTATGATTACTATACTAATAGATGGTTAATTACATTGAGTAAAGAGATAAATGAGTTTAATTAGTATGTTTTTGAATTTTTATTTTCTTTTGTAGTGTTTATCTGTTTTTGCAAATAAATTAGTTTAGTTAAAGATTTGAAGGACAAATACAAAAAGAGAAGAAGATCCAAAGCATTAAGGAGTTAAAAAGGGCCACTTCCTCGTGCGTCCAGACGATTTGGAAAGCGCGTACGGACATGACTTTCAGTGGCTGCAAAGAGAAGATTGAAGGCACGCGTTCGGATGGTAGAAATATCGCATCCAAACGGCCACTCTAGTAGTTGCATGCAGAAATTGATTGAAGCAATCTGAAAACACACGTCTAGCTGTGAGTAGTAGACAGGCCAAGATAACAAGGGTGCATTAAGACGGTTGAAAACACGTGTCAAAACACGATAATTAGAACCGATCAATTACTTCATACTTTAACTTTATTTAAGTTTTTGGTACCCTAGTGCTTATATAAGCTGATGTGAACCATATAGAGGGGGGTTTTCTCTTAGCCCCTCTTCCTTAGTTTTTGTTTTATTTTCTTATAGATTGCAAAAGTCCCTAACAAAAGTTAGGGGAGAAGCTTTTAATAAAGCACGATATTGTTTTTGATCCAATGTTCTTAATGTATGAATTTTTCTTTTAATTTAATTCATGTCTTTTAGTAAAATTTTTGTTCTGATAATTACTTGATTAGGTGTGCCACATACATCGAATGTTTGAATTCCCTGCGAGTAAATAACTGGTTTTACATGCTTGAATTAATTGATTAGAATTTTCATAAAATAATTAATTCCTTACTTGTGATAAAAATAAGTTTTATTTATTGAAAAACTTGATTCATCGCAGACGGGTACGATGAATGCTTGTGATTTACAATTAGATACTTAATTTATAATATTATCAATTATACTGTTGGATGTTTTTATTATTATAACTCTTAAAAATTCCGATTGAGATCACTCAACTAATTCTTAATTGAGTTAAAAAATCAGATCATTAATAATTATTTTGTGGAATTGAAATGGTATCTTCAATGCTTTAGTATTCTCAATTATTGGTTTTAGTCAAACAATTTATGTTCTTCTGAACAAACAATTTTTATAAAAACAATTTTAAAACAATTTTCTTTTAATTTTTCTGTGTTCTAAGTCATTCACAATTGTATGAGATGCGACATCGGAATTCCAAGAAAATTGATTACTTCGCACAACCAACACTTTGGTTTTACACTATTTGAGTTGTAGCAAATTTTTGGAATCATTGTCGGGGATTTGTTGGAAGGCAAGGAGCACACCATCATACCTTAAGGTTTGCTTGATTTGAGATTCTTCACAGATCTGGTAAGCTCGTTTCACTTTTATTTTTTCTATTATTTTGTTTTGTCATTTAATTTTTTGTTTTCTACTTCTATCTCTTTTTATTTATTTTTTTAAGAGCTCTAGACACCGTGAGCCAAGTGGATGATTGATTAGGGAAGAGTTAGTGCTTCTATTTGGTAATTTTTTTGATACTCCTATACAATCTCACATACACGCATGAGGGTCTATAATGAGCATGCAAACAATCCTTGTAGGACTTTGTAAGATTACCTACAATTTGCACGACACATTGCACTATCGTGCATTATTTTTCTGTCACTACTTGAAAATAACTCTTCTGCTTAGAAACGAAGGGGTTGTTTGTTTATGTTTTTGGTTGTTGTTTTATATTTTTGCTTTCAATTTTTGCCAAAAAAACAAACAAAAATATTTTTAATAATTATTTTTATTTTTTGTTTCATCTAATTTGTCTTGGAAACAAGTTAAAAAAATGAGAACAAACAAATTATGTTTCAGAAAACAACCAAAACACAAAACACTCATTGAATGGACCGAAGGAGTTTAATGAGATTTCGGATTCAATTCCTCTTAGCAAAAATAGATGTGTATTTTTATGGAAATATAAATAATTTGGGTGTTTGATCGGCCTAGCATTACTATTTTGTTAATCGGTTCTCTCATCCTCACAGGTCGAATCAAAGCACCCTTTTTCTCTGTCTTTGAAGACGAACCGAAGCACCCTCTCTCTCTATCTTCTGGAAGGCAAACCGAAGCTCCCCCTCATCCTTGCAAGTCATTGCTGCCTGCTTGAACGAATGTCATTGCTACCTTCTTGAACAAAAGCCCTCGTCGTTCTTGCCTTCCTGAACGAAGCCCTCCATCGATCTCTCTTGCTGTGAAGGTAAGTCTAAAAAATCTATATATACATAGATCTATGTATATATTGCTCAGATCTGTGTGTTATTGTTTCTCTGTGTGTGTGAGTCTGTGAGTGTGTATTCTTGAAGTTTATTATTTTTTTATTAATAAATTAACTTATTATTTTTAATTTTTTTTACAAAATATCATTTGGGTTTGCAGTAGATGTCCTTGCTCTTTTTCTTACCAAACTGTATTTGTTACGAATTGTTTGATTCAAATGTAAATCAGATGACTTGCATGAGGTGAACTTAATTGAGTCTATCATACATGAACAATTTAGATTTTTGTAAAGAAAATATTCAATTCCAAATTCATATTTAGATTTTGAAATAAATGAATTAACTTCTATTTTGAATTCTTCACAGGTATATGAAGTGAGAGATTGGAAGTAAAAGTTTGAGGAGCTTCCACCTAGAAATAACCTACCTTTGTCACCTAGTTCTGTAGCACCAAAGCTAGTATTGAAGCCTCTACCTATTTATTTAAAGTGTGCCTTTCCAATAATAATTTCTTCCCACCTTAGTTCAATCCAAGAAGGTAAGTTACTCCAAATTTTTATAGAGCACAAGGGTGTTATTGGGTGGAATATTGCTGATATGAAGGGAATTAGTCCCTTAGTTTGCACATAAAAGATTTTCTTAGACGACAATGCCAAAACATCTAGAGAGATGCAAAGGAGACTCACCCCTAACATGAAGGAAGTGGTTAGGAATGAAGTATTGAAATTGTTAGATGTAGGGATCATTTGCCCTATAGTTGATAGTAAATGGGTGAGTCCTACACAGTTAGTCCCTAAGAAATCTGGTGTTACTGTAGTTTCTAATGACAACAATGGGTTTGTACTAACTAGAATCATAACTGGTTGAAAAATGTGCATACACTACAGGAAACTTAACTCTGTTACATGAAAAAATCATTTTTCCTTGTCCTTCATAGATCAAATTTAAGAAAGGGTAACTTTACACTTGTTATATTACTTCTTAGATGGTTATTCAGTATATAACCAGATTAACATTTCCCTAGAAAACCAAGAGAAAACTACTTTTAATTGCCCTTTTGGCACCTTTGCTTATCGAATGATGTCTTTTGGACTTTGCAATGCACCTATGACTTTACAAATGTGCATGCTTAGTATTTTTAGTGATATGGTTGAGTGTTTTCTTGAAGTCTTTATGGATGGCTTTATTATTTTTGGTGATTCTTATGATGATTGTCTATTTAACCTTGAAAATTTTTTGATAAGGTGTGAAGAGAAGAACCTAGTGCTCAATAGGAAAAATGTCACTTCATGGTTCAAAAGAGAATTGTTCTGGGCCACATTTTCTCTTCTAAGGGAATTCAAGTAGATAAAGTAAAAATTGAATTCATTGACAATTTTTCTACCCCCACAACCCTTAAGGGTGTTAGGTCTTTTTTGGGTTACGTTGATTTTAAACTCAATATTGTTTGCCCTCAAAAAGGGGTTGTATTTTCATGAAAGCTCCCAATCGTAAGAGAAATATATCATGTAGTAACTTGAACAAAAGTCCAAGGTCATCTTCTTAGGGAAAGAATTGGAATCCAAAGTGATGAAAAATAAAATGAAAAAGTTATTTGAGTTCAAGAATTTTGAGAGTTAACAACAAATGAAATTGAAATTCAATAAATGAAAAAAACTACATAATCTTTAGAATTCGTGATTAACCCTAATTAGGATATAAATTAGAATTGTTAAAAAAGTCAAATTGATAAGATAAACTAACTAAAAACTATCAATTAGGGTTTGTGCGGGAATTAGGGTTTTATGTGTGTTATGTCTAAATTTTCAAGTTTTGATGCAAAATACAAGGAACAAATTGTCAAAGCTTGAAACAATGAAGGACCAAAGTGTAATATACCCAAAGAAAGCTAGCACACAAAGTGAATCAGTATGCAAAAACACTAGCAAGGCATGGGCGTCCGGACGGTGGAGGGGCGTCCAATTGGTCCCCAAAGGCGGCTGAGCTTTATCCCTCCACCTCCTGCTTCCTTTTTTCTTATAAATAGGGGTGTCCTCTTTTCATTTGAACAAGGACGGCCATAGAGGAGTCAAGAGAGAATTCCAAAAGAGAAAAAGAGAAAAAGAAAGAGAGAAAGAGAAATTGAAATTTAATCCGATACG